AGTCGCAAAAAATTTTATATTTTCTCTTCTCTCTGAATAAAAGTCAGGTCTCCTATTATTCTATTTTAATATGTTATATGATGTATTTGTTCAAGTAGGTAGCTTCTATTTTTCTTCTATATATAGGGATATAAGTTTAATAAAAATTTCAAGAATAGCGCAATGTCTTCAATTAAGGTTAAACTCGAAATTACAGTTTGCCCATTACCACTGTTCTACCATAATTAATGGTAATGGGTTCTTTACCTCGCTAATTGCCAATACTCCGCACGTGTGCCAAAAATTTAAAACCGTTCGGATTTTAATTTTTTTTATTACTTTTTTGTCACATACATTTGTACATGATTAATGTTATCTGCAAATAGTCATGTTAAAATCAGGGAACATTTATCTTTTTCTTAAAAACAAAATAAAGAACACTTTTTGAATTGCAAGTAACAATAAATTGAATACCTCATCTATTTTATTACGCATCCTTTAATTTCTGTGAATTTTCAAATGTTCCACATAATATATTTCATTAAAATTTGATCAGCTGCATTTCATTAATATCGTCATTTTCTGGTCAGTCACACATTTCAATAATTTTAAACTTCGAAGCTTTAATATCGTTGAAATTACTTTTCTTCTTATTAATTATCAAATACATTGGAGTTGTATTAATATTGATCTTTCTATTCTTCAATCGTTTAATACAATCTTACTTTACGTTTCATTAAAATCTCGTAAGCTGGATTTAATGGAACGATTTTATACATGAGGATTGGGCTTGATCAGATTTTAAAATCATAGTATCTTCTACATAACACTGAACGGTGTCTCGATGCAGTTATTGGTGTCACATCATTACTCCTTTGTACGCACACAGACGCATTAACGATAAAATCAGCAAGGAATCACGGCCGATCAAAATAGAGCAATGTATTCATGTTACAGATAATTACACTCCGGTGACTATCGTACATTAATTGGATATGCAACCAAACATTGCCCACTGAAACACCCTCATTATTTCGATGAATCAGTAGTTACCAATACATCAGCCAAATGTAATTGAACTGCTCCTATTATGTATTCTTCTACCTTCCAATTGTAATCTGATTAAAAAATTCAACGTGCATCTAATCATTTCATAAATAATACGCTTTTTATTATTTATATTAATAACTGGTTTATTATTTGGACTGCAATTTCTCATGCTAAACAAAATATTCACGGCATGAATTTAAAAATGCACTTCATATAGAAATATCTTTTATTATCTAAGCTCTGGATATTCCGCATATTTTATGCATGAGTCTTCATAATTTCTGCACATTTAATTTTCTGACAAATGCATAAAGTACCCAGTCTACTTATTATTAGAAACGATAATATCAGAATCTACTAAGCATTTTTCTTGATATGTTACTTAGAACGAAATCGTGCACGTCAGATGCTTTACATTCTCGCTGAGAACATCGATCTATCTATTTCACGACACCGTACATCCAATCCTAACGTTAACACCTTGCAAGCTATTGCAATTTTTCCTCCTCTGTAAACCCTGATCTATAAAAGCGATGGAAAAGCTGTGACTCTTTGAATTCCTTGTAGACTCTCAATAATAACCAAACAGAACATTCTATACATAAAATAACAGGAAAGAGCAGTTTGAATCTACTCGATGAGTGAAGATAAATCATGAATATCTATTTTTCCTTTTGTAAAACGACTGTTCAAATGCTGTCAACATTGGAGAGAGACATAAGCCAGGGAGGTTCGAGTTTAGCCCTCATACTGCTAATCTAATCCCTTCAGCTTATCATTTATGTACGGCCACACCGGTGATCAAGTGGCGTCCAATCATTTCCTATACATTATTAACTCTTCTCATCGGTGTTCTATTCGTCGCGGCGACGGTGTATGGATACAGATCGGTGAAATGACGGGACGTGATGCATGGAACCATTGGGCACAGGGGCGTGCGCGGTCGTATCAGTGAAATTGGAACGCGAAATGTTATCGCACTTTACAGCGTAGCGCGGGGAAACATATTTCGGAGAGGGCCAGCCGGCTTAAAATCGCCGTTCGATGCGATATCGATCGATCCCGAGTCACACGCGTGTGACGCGCGCGCAGCCACACGAATTTACATCCTGAAGTGGACGTGTCGCGTCGGGACGAACGCCGCACTGTAACATCACAGGAAGGCGTGCGAACTTTCTGACACGTATTGTTGTAAAAGTTAAAAATTATTTTTGTAGACTCTTTAGATCTTATTTTTTTGGCCGATTTCATCCCACGCATCAAATATCTGTTTGATTTACTTGGAAAAACCCAGATAGATGTATTTGTTGATTTTATTTCATCTGCCAACGATTCACCAATTTACATCACAATAGCGATGCTCTGAAAACTGGTGAAATTCGGGAAATCAGAACACACCTCTTCCCGGACAGTACTTTTAGAATCCAGGCACGTAAACACGGTCTGGGGACTCGTAAAACGCAGCGCGGTAACGGCAAAGTTCCTTTCAGGAAAAATACGTACGTAGGACAACGAGTGAAACAAATTTGGAGGAGCAAACCGATGATAGACAACGTACCTGCTTGGAATAGAGTGCTACAGAATCGACAGAGGTAACGTATCGGAGTAAGCAAAAAACCTTTGTTCCTTAAAAGTAAATTCAAAAACAAAAGTTGAGAACTTTTATTGTTCTGCTTTAACAAAATAAAATCAACATGACCATTACACGTATGACAGTATTATAAACTAAACGTACGAAATTAAATATATAAAAATATAAAATACACGTTTTAAATTTTTTCGTATGAAATTAACAGAGCATGAACGAAGACAAAGAAAATCTTTGTAAAGTTGAAAACTGGTGGATAATTGCGAAATAAGAACAAACTCGTTTTACACGTTTCTGGTCGTTTGCTAAAGCGAACTTTAAATGACTTTTCGTGAGAAAAGCTTTCCACTTCGACGTCAGGAGAATGAATAATTAACCTGCCTTAAACTAATTAGCTGTTCACGTAAGTAGACAATATTGCGGTTCCATGCTACCTCTTTGTGCCTGTTGTCACGCGAGATGCATTTACAAATAATCGTGTTACCGTAACGATATTCTCCCTTAACAAATAGTGTTTTATTATTGCAAGTAAAATTACGTTAGTATTCATAAATCGAAGGTTTCACTATTATAACATTTTCTATGACGATATTTAATATATTCCGAATTGCAGCACTGCGGTTTGTATAATATACATCAGTTTAAACTAGAATATCAGAGAAACTTGGAAATACTGAGGAGTACAGAATTATTGCATTTTTTATAAAAAATATTTTGTAGCTATGTTGTTTTACACCATATCAAGTAATCATTTCAAATATTCTACCGCAGATCGATTTGAAAATTTATTGAGTCCTGTTAGAATTTTGAAAGTGGTGTGACCCAGAATCTATCGTGATCTATTTCCAACGAAGACACGTACTATGGGCAATTCCGCAAGTGCACAGCGGGAGCCTTGATAACCTCAATTAAAAATTGCTTCAAAGGCAGCGTACAGGAGCAACTAATTACGCCAGAGTAATATGAATCTGGCGTTAAACATTGAAATTCATAAAGACGCCATACGTTCAGGTTGCGCGGTGGTGCACCGCGTCGCGTCGCGGCATTATTTCATTATGAGAGACCAGAATGTGATATTGTTGACCGCGAGCACCGGCGCTGCTTTCTTTCACAGGTACAATTTTTCCCCATGCTTAAAACGATTTTCATTGTTACCAAAATGAAGGAGGAGACTTTTAAGAAAGGGCATGGCGGAGAAATTATTTCATCGTTTCCAGTGTACGCGAGACTTGAATGAGATTAATTGTACTGTTCCCCAAATTGTTGGCAAACAGAGCTCTGAAATAACGAGCTCTTTTCTTTCGTATTCGTCGTTTCTTTCAATCAATTGAAGGTGCAATAATAATCTTTGTCTGAATCATTTTCGTCGTGTAGACTAGGATCTTTTACAGACAGATTATACATGTTCACGCAGCTGGAAGAGAGTAATGAGCTCAGGAATAGTACGTAATTTTTCAATATAATTTTCATACACTCTGGTGCAAATTTTAATGAACACGTTACCGATATTTCAAACACACTGTTTGTTAACAGGGGAATGTAGTGAAGCAATTTTCACGTATCACTAAAAATGGTCTTTTACTGTGACGACGTGCTGAAATTTACGATCCGCAGAAATCAAATAAAGCAGTACATTCTGCATTCGCAATGAATAATCTCCTGTTGAACAGAATAATTAGTGAACTGTTAATTCATATTATGTATGATCCATAGTTGGACTAATTACAGAATATAATTCTAAATTAATTTCAAATGTACATTTCATCAATGCGCTAGTTTCACTTGATTTGGCAGAAATTTAATTAAACGTCTAAAGAATTGTTACCTGAAATAATTAGGTTTCAGATATCGTTATATATCATGCTTTACGAATAATTTTCCACTGAACAAAGGGCAAATAAAAAATGCGATTATTAATTACTTTTTCGAGTATCATTGACTGAACATGTAAATTTATCCCCCAAAAATATATGTATCTATTTAAATGTCATAGAGTGTCTTCAATAAATAAGTTCAAAAGCATTGTCTCATTTTCTTTAGAATCCTATATGCATAGACCAATGATGTGAAATTAAATGCTCACTTGGAAACCCTATAGATGCTTTAACAATTGTTTCTCCTAGCCATTACGTAAGCAACTCTGCAATCATTTCCCTCTCAAAGTCTTAACCAATCAATTTATCTGCCCGTAATAATCAGACAATCGAGGAGCACGAAAACAGTTCTTGTAGTTTTCAATCTAATGATTGAGTTACTATTTATTAATATTGGAAACAAGCCTTAATTGTGTTACGGAATAAATGAGTATTGAAGGCATTAGAATCCACCACATTTGATAAGTCAAGAACAGAGAAGTCTCGCATTGATTCGATCTTGATCTTACCTGCTGGTGCTGTGAATGGTAATCGGAAGCGCCGTTCGGGAATCTATAACGGAAGGGACTGTGCACAGGGCAGTTAACGCGAAACGGGCTCTCGCTCGGTAACCTTGGCGGCGGATGAGAATGGGGACCATAGATGACACAGTCCATCGGTATAGGTCTTCCGGGGGCGTGATCGAGGGGCCGACAAGAATAGTTGACTGGCGGCGGTCTCACAGGAGGATGTTCAATCGGGCGACAACCCGTCTGTTCCATCGGCGGCCTCCCAGGGTGCTGTTGTTCGTGGAGTCGATGCTCCAGCATCCGCGAAACGTGCTCCACCGACCTGCAACCGTGGTCGTGCATCCGGCCGAAGTGATGATCGTGCATGTAACTAGCGTGATCCTTCAGCCTGCAAGGATGTTCTATTGCTCGCATCGCGTGATGCTCGAGGAGGCCGCCTCGCATCGGCGTGGAAGACATCGAGGAAGATGTCGCGGGATGATCGACAGCTGACCTCGGCTGTTCGGTGCGTATCTGTTGGTCGAGCGGTCTGCTCATCGCCTCCAACGATCGGCTCGACGGATGATGCTCCATGGAGCCACGAATGGGATCGGCCGATGGTTGCCGTATCACGGAGTCGATCGATCTCATCGACTCCATCGACCTCATCGACTCGGTAGACCGCATGCTGTGCTCGATCGGTCGCATCGGCGAGGGATCGGTCGATCTGCACGGTCTGCTCCAGCACCGCGGTATGGTGTTCGCACCTTCGTTCGGGTTGCCGCCGTTACCACCGAGGCCGGCCCCTCCGATAGCACTGCCGGCACCATGACCTTGAGGTGGCCAACCAACCGAATAGGGATCCATCTCCATCGGCGGATGTCGTCGTCGTCAGCTCGTTACGGTGCCTGTCGCCACATGGTTCGGACCGGTGCGACTACCCTGCTCGCGTTCATGCCGAATCGGCCACACTCGTCACACTGGCGAACTAGACGTGACGCGGTTACACGCACTCAGTACACACGCGAAACCGCACTCGCGGCGAACACGCGGTCGATCTCGCGATACTCATATAAAATTACCAGCGGTGATACGATCGACAGAAAGGAGAAACGTGACTGTACACGGGTGAAACGATACAGGAAAATAAAATGATAACGCGTCGTCACTCGAGAGTAACGCGACGAAGAAAAACATTCGGACGAGGGAAAAAGCCGTGAGGAAGTGCGGCAGCGACCGGAAGGCGACGCATCGCGACGCCACGCTCTCTAGCACTGAGCCTCGCGGCCTCGACTGCCGCGCAGTTCCTCCACGCAAACCAACCAACCGACCCACTACCCCCGACTATCCATCCACCGCCTAACTATCCACCCCTACCCGCGTCCCTGCCACCCCGTCCATCCCCGTTCCCACGTACGCCAGTATCGCCGCTCTCTCCTCGCCCACGGTAATGCCTCTCTTTCATCCCTCTGGACCGCAATGTTCACCCACGGTCTCCGGCAACGTCCCCTCTCTGTCCTTCTCCTGTGCAATCCCCTTCTACAGTCCCTGCTTCCACTCTCCTATTCCTGTCCTTCTTCTTGTTCCACGGACAATCTCCGGCCGCATCGTCGCGCCGAGTCACACACTTTTCTCCTTCGGTTCATCTCTACCCCCAACCCCCACCCCGTCCTCTTGCCCATTTCGGCTTTACGATGGCTTTCTTTGTCCTCGTATCAGCGCCCACATGTTCCATCGCATCAAGTTCAAAAATGTTTAAGTCGTATTCGACGCTCCAATCTCTGAAATTGAACGGACGCGATTCGGGATTAAAGAGGAAGGCGATTAATGGTGCGATCCAGCCTCGGTCTCTGTTCCGAGATAACACGGTAGTGGGGTCGAAACACTCGAGCGAGGGTGCACGTTTAAAACCGCGTGAATGAAAAACAAAATCGATTGCTTTGCGCCAGGTGGCTCCTGCGATACCGTATCAGCATTGTAACATACATACTAACTCCGATTCTCTACGTTCAGGGTTGACCGATATCTCGAAAGCGGACTGATTAGGTTCAAGTGTTTGAATTCGATTATGCGATCACCCGGCGTCGCCGTGTATTGCGCTGTTTCAAGTGGAACACAGCTTTGCCATTGTTTTCTCGATAAAGGACAAATAGGCGGCTGGTACGAGTACCGAGCTAATAGATACAGATTGTTTCCATAGTTCGTATACTATGTTAAAGTGTGAACCGCGCGTTTGTTGACAGGCTTTGCTGGATCGTAATCGATTTTGCGAAAGTTTACGAATCATACAATGTGCTGATCTACACACGTTCGGTAAATCTCAGTTAACTCCCTTCGAGTTTTCTCAGCTTGTTTCTTAAGTTCTCGATGTAAACGGGTTTACTATACATCTTTCAAAATCAAAATCATTTCATATTTCTCAAAATCAAAAGTGACAATGATATATTCCGAATATAAATCATCCAGAGATAAATTGAATGACGGACGGTCCAGCGAACGCGATATATCATAAGCTGAAGCGAGTCGGCATAAAGATAATCTTATATTCCCACTCGATCTTCTAGAGTCGAACCGTATCACTTCCGCTTAGCCACCGTTTATTGACGGATCGTTTCGCTAAGATTTCGCGACACTTGTTGCCTGGCCACCATCGATCTAGCCTTAATCGCCTTTCAGGTTGCGGGAACAACGAGACAGATAAAACACCATCGGGTACGTCGAAGTTATGAATTGGTTTAATCCACTAAGACGAGTTACAATTTGCCTCACATAAGCGTTTCTAAAAATCGAAAATAAAACATAATTTTCAATTTTCCTCCCTGGATTATATTAAAGCTGAGAAAAATAAAAGCTGTACGCCTAGATTTTTATGCAATTCTTTTTTACGGTTCAGATTTAAGAAAGGAAAATTGATTGAGAGAAACGCTATTAAAAGAAACGTACAGTTTGGGACAGACACTTGGAAATGGAGGTTGCGTGGCGCGACGCGGCGGCGGCGGCGGCGACGGCGGCCAGGCCGGCCGGTGAGATTCATTCATTATAACTGCGGCGGTTGAATTATACATATAGCGAGCGTCAGTCAACGTCAACGCAGTTTAACCAGCACAATGAAGGCTGAAACCATAGGCGAAACCAGCGACGGCTAACTTTCCTAATTGGACACGTGATTCTCCTCTCCTGTGTCTTCCCGCGATCGTTTTTTATGCATTATACACCCGACGCGATCCCTAGAACGTGTCTCGCCTGCGAAGTTTGACCTAGATTAATCCAAGCATTTCCGGGACACGGTTCCTAGTTCCATGCGTGTAACTAAACAACTCTGCCACCAGTGCCATGTACTACGACCGAATGCTCGGTTTCGTGGACACGCATCAAGCCACGATCCTCGACGGATTTGCCTTGAACTAGTTTCTCGTGGATGCACAGCAAGAAAACTGACGACAGCTCGTACGCGACTGACTTTAGCATCGCAGGGGGAGTAAACGTCGTTCGAAATTTTAGCACTCTTCGATCGACCAGATTTCTGCTGCAGACATATTTACGACCTCATACTCGGATGCACACTAGACCGTGGCACCATACGCGTTCCACAAGGAGGTGGATCGGATTTCGGCTCCTCATTAGTGGAGAGACACTCTGTAAAAATTGCTATTAGAAATTTTCATAAATCTAAGGTGCATACAATAGCACACTTCAGAAGACGCAAGGCCATGCTACTTGGATCGACGCTAAAACGCGCCAGCGCAGATATTTCAGTTTCAGAAAGATTTACTAAACCCAGAAATATATACGAGAGACTTCAACTATTGTATTAAAGGGAGTTACAGATGTTTTGTAGAAAGTCCACAGTATTTCCGGAAAAGTATAACAGAAACAAGAGACTTGGCAACAGACTTTTTTAACGCAATTCCTCGCGGGACAGACATTCGTATTGTGACAAACGCAGAATAAAAAGATTTTTGAGAGATGTTTTGTATCGTCGACATTTTAAGGCGTGAGAAGCTACACATCGTCTAGATGTCTAGAAAGTACAAGCTTTTATTCTTAAGTGCTGCGAGGTCTTTCCTTCTTTTTTATACGTTTTACTTTTATTTTTGGTGGAGCAACGTAACGGATCACCCAGCTGTACATACACAGATGTGCGAATAGTTCTGGGGTGGCGGTAGATCTGCGCACAGATCAATATCTACAGTAAAAAGAAACAGATTCGTGCCCGAAAGTTCGAATTATTTCTTATAAGCCGATACGCCTCTCAGATTTGCATTAAGATCATTAATAAAAAAACAAATAATAAAACAACGTTTGAGAGAAGATGGAAAACGAGAGATGGCTTATAACAAGCGATTACTTCTGTTTAAATATTATTTAAGTCACGTGCATCGACCTGGAATTCATGGCTTCAATTTTGCATGATATTACATATGAACTTATGTCAGGACATATACTTGCATAAGAAAATATGATGTTTACCAAGAAGGTAACGCCTCGGCGTGCCACCGTACATACTATAAAGATCTACTATTTATATCACAGACGGTAAACACACTTTCACCCTCGTTGCAAGAGGTCATGTGAGAATAACCTTAATCACCTGATTAATACGGAAATGGCAGAAGCCGTCACGAAAGGTCAATTATCTATAATATCCCTAACAGGTTACCTAATAATTATTACTAACTCTTGTTAAAAAAAAATAAAAGTGTTTCAATTTCAGTTTGAATTATCACAGAAAAATATACACCCAGTTATGTACTCATTAAAGATCTTTTAAATTGAACATATTGCATTTATAACAATGAGTAACTACTGCAGTATAATATAGTATGTATAGACACTGCATGCATATGTATTTCAATAAAAACCAGCTTTGACTATAGATTTAACTAGAACGATGGAAGTTGTTTGTATGCTAATGCAATAACTGCAATGTGAATGGGAAAACTAATTGTATAAAACTGTTTTCATGGAATTATTTTTCGACGGTATTGTATCCAGACATCACGTGCCAGGATAAAAAAGAATTTCATTTTCCTTATCTGTTCAATTTATAAAACACAGTGCATGGATCAAAAGCACATTCTACCTACGATAATAAGAACGTTTTATTTATTTAAAAGATAGGAAGAGTATCAGAGATCATGCACCATCGTGGCGTTTATCTATCGCGACTATAAATAAACAAGTGAGATAATCTCTTAGATGTGGTTTATAGAGTAACATTTAGATAAAAGGCAACCCTTAAGAGTAATAAATTCCTGATATCCGATGTTCCCCTCGCGTTCTACCCGGGGCATGTACCCGTGCGCGGCGCACGTGCGAAACATAAATCCAGATTTTTGACCGAACAAAGTGGTTGCACCTCGTAAACGATTCTTTTCAATTCTCGTTAAGGCTAAAGCTCGTCAGACGTGAAATATGTATACGGGAGCACTCTGCTCCCACGTGTGAAGATCGCTTCGCGAGGGCATTAAAGTCGCGGGAAACCCATTTTGAATCGAAAGAAAAGTATCAATAAAACGTACCATATTCATTGAAAGATTCAAGAATCATGCGCAATCTCGTTCTTTTCTATTCGAGGCATAAAAGAAATCCTTAAGGGAATATCCATGCATGCTTTACAAAATAATAAACTGATCTTCAGAATAAGAATTTCTACAGTATAACACAGAATTGTCTAGTTATCGAAATATTTACACACGTATTTATTCTAGATTGTTATTTAGCAATTTTACAAGCCGATCTCTGAGGTCCTTAATTACGGATGAAGTTTATACTCAAGAACTTGGCAGTAAACAGATGCGTGTATTTAGCAAGTAATTACCCAAGTAATTGCTTGAATTTCGGGTGATCCCTGTCTAATTTACATCCATCTGTCCTTTAATCAAATGCAAGACCGTCTTTCGACTGACAATAAAGTGGTATTTGTCAACACTGAATTTCGAAGTTAATTTCAGAGGCTTCACTTTAAAAGATCATGATATTAAAATTAAAATAAAAATGGTTTTCATTCAGCCTCTGAGGAGGTTTTGGAAATTTGGAATTGGAAATTATGTTTCAATGAAAATAAATGTCTTACTGTACGTTATAAGGGTGTTAAAATAAACAGTAAAGATTTGAATTGAAGTTTAGCTGTAGTAACCGCGAATAAACTACGATTCGTTGTCAACGGTGGTTAGCAGAGGAAGCTCGGTTAACGGAGGGTGGGAGAGAGCACGTACAGAAAATGCGGTTATCCCTGGCACGCTGGGAGAAGGGCTGCTGCGGATATGTACGCTGCTGAAGATAAACGACTCGACGCGGCGCGCCATCGATCCCG